AGATGCACCTGGGGGCGGCCCCGCGCCGACCTTGTGTGCCGCGCTGCTCGGCCGCCCTCCGAGCGCGGCAGGGACCCCCGCCTTGCTCCCGCACCGCACCCTTGGCATGCACTTTCCGATTCTTAGGGTGGTCTCCGACCCCGGCAAAAGCTCACGTCCCCGGATTTACACGGAGCCGACAGAATCAGAGAAAGTCCTAGGCCTAAGAAAGCTCCAACAACCAGTAATGCTTATCATGGCTCCAGAGAGGGCGGGCGGGAGCTGCCTCCTTTTACGGTCGCTGTCATCTTGTACGGCTTAGAGACCTGACCTGTGAGGGCAAGAAAGCAGAGGGGTGCGAGTGAATGTCTTTCAATAAACGTGTGTTAAATGAATATAAGCAGAGCGGATGGCCTACAGCCTCGGCTCCATAATGAGTTCAAGACCACCCTAAGTTATATGAGACACTGTCCTAAAAAACCAAACTGGTGGCCAGTGTGGGTGAACTTGATCAAGATATACTGAACAGGAGGGATGTTGCCTTTGAATATCACATGCCAAGCCAAATAAATTAACGCAAATAAGTCATTAGAAATGTACTATGGGGGGCTGGAGAGATGGCTCAGAGGTTAAGAGCACTGACTGCTCTTCCAGAGGTCCTGAGTTCAATTCCCAGCACCCACATGGTGGCTCACAACCATCTGTAATGAGATCTGGCACCCTCTTCTGTATACATAATAAATAAATAATCTTTAAAAAAAAGAAAATAAATAAATAAATTTAAAAACAAAAACAAACAAACAAAAAAAAGAAATGTGCTATGGCCGTGTCATTAGTTAGTAAGTGAGCAGAGTAGCTGTAGTGAAAGCAAAATTACAATGATTCTCTTGAGCATACACCCAAAGGAACTGAGTCAACATAAAACAAAGGTACCAAGCTGGGCAGTGGTGGCACTCGCCTTTAATCCCACCACTCAGGAGGCAGAGGCAGGTGAGTCTCTGTGAGTTCGAGGCCAGCCTGGTCTACATAGTGAGTTCCAAGACAGCCAAGACTACACAGAGAAACTGTCTCGAAAAACTAAATAAATAAGTAAAATAAAGGTATCTACAAGTGTTTATTATGACATCGATATTCACAATACATAAGTTACAGAATCAGCTTAGGCGACTGTCCACATGAATGGATAAAGAAAATGTGCTAAATTTACATAATCGTGTATTATTCAGTCACAAAGAACAAAGTTATATTTGCAAGAAAATTGATGGAACTGGGACATAAAAGGGAGGTAAGATTCAGAAAGACAAGTATGACATGTTTTCTCATGTAAAACCTAGATTAAAATTAAAGACACCGGAATAGCTCAGTGGTAGAGCCCTTACCTGTCATGAGTTTGATCCTCACCACATGTTGAGGGGGGACATGAAATAGAAAGGGGCCTGTCTATAAAGAGAAACTGAAAAGAATGGAAATGGGAGATGGGTATGATCAAGGTTTTATGCAGGCATGTAATGTCTTGGTGAAACCTTTCTAAACAGCTGATATGTACTGATAAAAAAGATTAAATTTGGTTATGTACAGAGACTCCTTCCATATCAGCTAATCACAGAATTGATGACCAATAAATACAAGCCATTCTGGCTCTTATATACCCCCTCCTCCTTACCAGAAGTTAAACTTTTAGCTCTCTGTCAGGGTGGCAGACAAAGGCCTCTAATCCTAGCAATTGGAAGGCAGAGGTAGGTGGATCTCTGAGTGAGAGAGAGCTCAGTCTGGTCTGCAGGGCAAGTTCCATACTTGCTGGGTATTTCCTTAAGCATCATCTTAAGTATATCATCTTTCATATTTTAAAGTTCATTTTTGGTGCCCTTTCCCCCAGTCATTCTAGTTTAACATTTACCTGCTTTAAAATGTATAAAATTCTGACAGGCATGGTGACCCACACCTTCAGTCTGAGCAGAGCAGGAGGATCTCTTGATTCCAAGCTGGGCTGTGGTGGCACTCAGGATCCTAGCACTCGGGAGGCAGAGGCAGGCAGATCTCTGAGTTCAAGGCCAGCCTGGTCTACAGAGTGAATTCCAGGACAGCCAGGGTTATATAGAAAGAGTATAAAATTCCTCTATACATTTAGAAAATTTGGCATTTTCTGAAGAACCTATTGTGCATGCCCTAAAATCTGTGGCTAATAAACTGTTAACCTCTACATTTCTTGGTGTAATTCATTTTCAGGGAGGGGAAAAAAAAAAAAAAACTGCAAAGGTTCTTGAAGGCACAGATCTCTATTTTCCAGTAAGCCAGGTTCAGGGTTTATACCTGTTGTTCTGGTTACTGATAAACGGAGGCATGATTGTTTGAGCCCAGGCTCCCAGGCTAATCTGGGCAGGGTAATAAAACCCGGTTTCTTCGAAATAAAGTCAGACCCAGCCAACATATCTCTGTTCCTGGGTGTTTGTCCTGCCCTCTGTATGTAGACCTCCCAAATCTTCTGTACTCTGTAGTTCTGGCCTCTTAACAAGACAACAGTTACTGACTTAAGCCCTGAACCTAGAGCCTCCTGTATAAATTTTTACTTTTTACTTTTTGAGATAGGGTCTCAGTAAGTTGCCTGGGCTGGCCTTGAGTTTGCAACACTCCTGCCTCAGCGTCTGACACAGCAGGGATTATGGGCCTGCATCACCGGGCCTACCTTTGTTCACCTTTTTATACTTAGTTAACTCGGTGGTTCGGAGACATATGCAGTAGGACCTTGGTAATGTTAATTTGATAGATGATGGGTAGGAGAATTAACTAAACTGCTTTTGTCAGGGCTGTGAGACAAGAGCTCACTGTAGCCCATTGTTTGTATCTAACTATTTTATGTAACTCAGCACTTAATCTTGTGCAAATAGTATAAAGCTTTGATCTTTATGTTTTTAATACTTTTTAGGTCATGAAGCAGATTTGAAGCTAAGAAAAAAATGAATTATGCATAGTGATAATTAGATAATAATGCATAATGATAATCTCACATAAGAAAAGACAAGCCAGGGCTGGGATATGATTCAATAGTAGAGTGCTTATTTAGGACCCATACCTGTACTTAACCTCCAGCACTGCCTGGATGTGAAGGGAACCCATCTAATAAACCCTGCTGAGCTGGGCATAATCACACATACTCGTAATCCAGGCAATCAGGAGGTAGAGCAGGAGGATCAGAAATTCAAGGAAAGCTAACAGACAAGGCTTCTAGCACCTCCCTTTGCAGGAAGTCCAGCCATGTGCTGTTGTCCACAGGCTTGCCCTCATGTGCCTCCCTATTACATGTAGTTTACCTCCATCAATGCCCTTGCTGGCCTGCTCAGAGCAGGACTGACTCTTTCATGACCCCAGCACTCATGAGGTATCAGCTGTCAGCAGAGGTGTCTGCACTCTCCTGTGAACTAAAGTCCATGGAAAACTTGGTGGCTGGTCCCTCAACAGGATCATCAGTGTCTTGTCCTCTAAAGGCAGAGCTGCTCCTGACATCTGGGGTGACAAAAGCCTGGCCTTTTGATAGGCTCTGTGGACTTGCCCTAAGAGTAAAGGCTGAGAGTAACTCCACTGCCTGGGAGATGGAGGCAGGAGGATCAGGAATTTAAGATCATCCTTGGCTACAAGGTAAATTCCAAGCCAACGGCAGAAAAAAACAGAAAAAGGCAGACAAGAAGGCAGGCCTAGTGAGGCAAGAGCTAGAGCACAGTCCAGGGACAGTGGGTGTGCTTCCTCAGCTCCTCAACACTCCGTGGTGAGATGTGCAGTCTGGGTAAGTGGGTATTGTGAATCCAGATGCTGCAGGTAGACGCCCACATGGACAGGGTGCCAGCTTTCTGCAAGAG